CCCCCAGCCAGGTCTACCTGCCTTTCCCTCCGACTTCATTTAGGACACCCCCACCCCCCCAATCGAGGTCCGGGAACGCAGCTCTCCCCTCAGCGAGTGGCGCAGGGCTACCCAGCCCGCCAGTCTCCTTTCGCTCTTCGGACACGAGACTCGGCTGTAACAAATACGCCCCGCCGCCAGGCCTCTCCGGCAGGTCTCATCGGACCGGCTCCGGTAGAAGCACTCGGCCGTCCCCGGCACCGCATCGGGTTTCCGGAAAGCCCACAAACTGGGACCCCAACAATGCATGGGATGCCCAGCCGGCGGCCTTTTCCTTGTGGGCGGCGGGGTCTGCCAGGGACCCCCTGCTGGGCGGGAGGAAGGACCTTCTGGGGCGAGCCTTTGGTTTCCAAGCCCGGCGGGGGCGGGGGGGGCACACTGTTCCGCGGAAGGGATGTCTTCGGCCACGGATTCCGTCGTTCCCGCCCGCCCCCGCCTCCCGTCCCATTCGCCCAGCCGCCCCTCCTGCTTGGGAAAGAGACGGGCCGGGGCTTTCTCACCCGCTTCCTTCGGGCTCGGCGTCTGCCTCGGACGTGTCCAGCAACCCAAGGCGCTCCCCCTTTGTTCCGCCGCCCCTCAGGCCCGAGGCTGCAACCACGTGGCCTGCCCTTTCCATGGGGCTCCCCCCGCCAAAGGGCTCGTTAACAGGAAAGCGTCTCGGCATTTAATTTTAATTAGGCATCTTCGTCTCGCCGAAGAATCTGCGAGCATCTCGTCGTGCGCGACCAAGAGGCCCGTTGATGGGGACGCTCACAATGGAGAAAGCCATGGGGGCTCTGCACCCCCAAAACATTCTGCCCCCGGAAGCCCCCCCAAATCTTCTTCCCCTTTCCAGGCAGTTGGAAGCTTCAGGGGGGCTGCCTTGCTTCCTTCCCTGGCCTCTAATACAGGTGGGAGGTCAGTGGCAGTGGGGCAGAAAACGGGGGGTGAACAGATCAACCGCCAGGCACCCTTCAGGTCTCCCAGTCTTGAGCCTCCCCGTCCCCCTTTCGGCCTTGGGCTCTCCCGCCCCCCCCCCCCCACTTCCTGCCTTGGCAGGCCAGCTCTCCCTTGGGACACTCTGACCAGGAATCCCTCCAAAAATCCCCGCCCAGAAGTGGACCTGCGCAGGCTGTGCTCATTGGAGCCTCGGGAGGAAGAGGAGCCGGAGGTCCAAAGAGGGAGCCAGGAGGACACCCTTGGTGATCTAAGCAGCCTAGACTGCCAGCTCCCTACAAATGATTGGCACCTGAGCTCACCGTACCTTAGGACTGGTTGTCCCAAAGGTGCTTTTTCAAGAGGCAACTGGACTTTCTTCTTTCTTTGAAGACGTTTCGCTTCTCATCCGAGAAGCTGCTGAGAGCTGAAGAAGCTTATTGGATGAGAAGCGAAACGTCTTCAA